AGAAGTTGCCTCCCTCGTGCAGGAGGCTGGTGCACAACAAGTTGATAGGATGTGCACCCTTGAAAAGAAAATGGATGAGTGCCTTAGGCGTACCCATACAAATGGCAAGCTCACAGAAGACCTCATCAAAGAATTGAACGTAAGCCTAGAATTATGAGATTAGTATATATAATTGGAAATTTACGTCTAGAAGGTTTTTTCTAAATTAGTTTACTATGAAAACACCCCAGACTAACATGTATTTTTTAAAGATAAAACATGACGAAATATTTCTAGGACTGGAGGACATACATCTTTCTGACCTCGGGGCACCTTCACACCCACTGGAGGCCTCTGTTGAGAATGTTGAGCAGGCTTCTGACCAGGGGAAACAAAATGATGTCACGGAGGTCGCTGCTAAGCACCATTGCAAATGGTGCATAAAGAATGATGACATAGAGCCCCCAATGAAGAACCTTGATGAAGAGTTTGACATGCGCATGTTAACTTAATTATGAAACAATCATTGTCGTTTCAGAAATAACATGTGATCTTCCACGTACAGGATGAAGCATTTGAAAGAGCTGAAAGAAAAATCATACAGGATCTCAGTGGTATTCATAAGCTTTTAAAAGAGGTGGATGATATCCAGGGTGCTCCTAGTTTGGATAAGCAAATGCATTCCAAAGCCACCACAAGCCTTGAAGAATTCCAGGTGATGCACATTTTACCTATAATTGAGGAAGAATCTGCTAAAGGCTAGCATGCGGTTTATTTCTTATGACAGATTCCGTTCAACATATGGAGTAAGCAGCACTCTGTGAAGGCTACGGGATCGCGAGAGCCCGAAAAGCCCCGTGCCTTCGCAGATGATGACAGCCATGATGAATCCTTTCGAAAGCAGCAAGAAGTAAGTGTGGTTGAATCGATGCCACCAAATCATGGGGGCGAAAATAAAAATGTGGTATTGCAATTATTTAAGATGCTTCGTACGATACTGAGAAAAAAAAAGGAAAAACAAGACCCCATCAGAGTCTACAAATGATTCCGAGGACACGAACAATAAAAAGAGGAAAATCGGCTCTAGCAACTTAAAAAAGAGGCCAGAAGTTACTGAAACCCAGAGGGACCAGCTAGATGTGGTTTGACAGGATTTCGTGGCGTCACTGATCAACAGTACAAATCATGAAAAACAAATGGTCCTAGTTGATGACATTGTCATGCTATCGAAGCATTTGCAATGCCTCACCCAAAAAGATGGTTCTGAAGAAGCCGTATGGTTGGGTGACGAAGTAAGATATTTCATAAATTAGTTTATTAAGTTCCATTTTTGTAATACAATTAACTTGATTATTATTGTAGGTGGTTGATGCTGCGATCCAGCTCATGCGTCATGATGACCCAATTGACACAAGGGACGGCCAACTGGTTTACATTGAGAGGGTGGCCGGCGTCGCTAAGCTCGAAAGAGATGGTAGGATAGAGGAGTGCTACAAGGATGCTTTGGCAGGCATTCCTGGAACAACACAAGGCACCAGCTACCTGAAACATGACATGGTATTTTAACCTGACTTTGAACAGATTTTTTCATTACTATACACGTTGATCAAATTATCTGCGCAATCCAGGTTTTCCTACCTACGAACAGCCAAGGCGTCCACTGGTTACTTGTGGTCGTAAACCCCAGAAGGAAGGAGATTCAGGTTCTTGATTCACTTTTCCACTGTATGGTACCCAAAGAAGTACACAACGTGGTGAGAATTTCAACATATGCAATTATAACAAAGGATTTGACATCATATGTAAGTATTAGTCGTAGGCAACTTCTCATCCCATTGGGCTTGTAGGTACATGGGATGGAAGCACATCTGAGAGCAGCGAGGCGAGTCAATGGGATAGAAAGCAATGCATGGGAAGACATTAACGTGACACAGTGGCCAGTATGGAACATTAATGTGCCAAAATCCGATGAAACGTCAGTCAAAAATATTAGCTTTTGTTTTTGTTTTAGATTGTTAATATCTGAAATGCTGATCTAACAACATAAAATGTTGCAGTTCTTGTTGTGCACTGTACATGCTGAAGAACATTGAATTATTTACAGGACTAAAACTAAGTAAGCAGTATGACGAAGTACGTAGAGTAACACCTAAAATTATGTCATTTTTTGATCTTAAAGGAACGATACTAACATATCCTTGCATGCCGGCATACATCGAGAAATTCAGAAAAGAGCTACCTGTTGTGCTTGTCGATTCACCCTACAACAAAATGAAATACAGGAATAGGTTCAAGCAGTACCATGCTAGGCTATCGGATGCAGCTGCGATTGAAGATGACGAAGATGCAAGCAGTTAGTCCAGCAGTGTGGAGTGTTCACTTGGCCATAAACCGATAGAGTAGGGTTTGGTTGGGTTTTAGTCCTGAAGAAGGTTTCCTAGCCGTGTTCTTAGTCCATTGCACATGAGTCAAGTTGTAAAACTACAATAATATTGGTTACTATATTTTGCTTGAAATAAATTTGGTCTGTATGGGATCTCGTAGAAATCTATATTTGCTTTTTACTACCATGTGACAATAATGGTGCCTGGGGCAACCCTAGAAGAATAATGGACTATGATATGTCTATTATCATACGAGAGAAAAAAGTACGAGCATGAGCATAGCCTCACAACAGAAGTCAAAAATACTACCTGATTCAACACGCAATCCCAGCTATGTCTCGTAGGCAGGCCGCAAAGCCAAATAAATAGAGCATATGATAACAAGAGTAAAGCACGTACCATAGGGGGCCTCTGCAGCTACTGCAACGCTGAATTGAAGCGATCACCTTCAGGAGCACAGTGGTGTGGCCATGGTACATCCATCCTGCCTCAGGAAATCACATAGCATGTTCTGTCATAGCCCTGCAAAACAGAGGAAAATTACTACTTGTACTAACCTTGTCAAGTGTGTGCATGTAACAAATGTTGGACATAACTAAACACGGAAGAATGAAATGCAACATATGGAAGAATGAAACGCTCATTCCTTTGTCTCTGCTTTTTACGAGGACCATTACTCTCCCTTTAACAAGGCTAAAACATCACAATAAAAATTAACAGCAATCTTGAAAAGGTGGATATCCCATGTGAATCTAATTTTTCATATAAAGCACATGTCAAGTCTGTTGATCCCAGTCCAGCAATTGCACAAGAAGAAGCGAGCATCATAAATATTGAGCAACATAAGCTATGAATTGTTTATAGTACATTCTAAAATTAATAGCTTATCATCTCTATTGATCTCCAAATCTCACCTATCAGCCAAATTGAAAGAATACATGTCGAATGCAGCGATTGAACGTTCGTAGATCATGCAGTCGGGGCTGGACGAATGGGGCTGGCCATCGAGGCCGGCGGCCGGCCTCTTCTAGTCCCGCAGAACATGATCCATAATGCATGGCCAGATCAAAGCTGTAGCCATGGCAGACAAATGATATGTAGAGGACGCAAATTAACAACCAATTGGAGGACCTGCATGGAGGACTGGGAGGTGGGATGGCGCCGACTCTTCGCCGGCGGCCGCCGCGTGGATGGCAGTGGGCCTTCTCTAGTGTTTGTTGAAAAGGTGATGCGAGATCGCGAGGGAGTTGGGGTGGAGGAAGGGAGGGGCCTCGACGCGCAGCTAGATCCTGCCAGCGACGAGGGAGGGAGGGGCCGCAACGCGCGGCTAGATCATGCCGGCGACGAGGCAGGGAGGGGCCGCGACGAGGAATAAGAACGGGATAAAACCCTAGTGGCGGCGAGGAATAAGAACGGGATAAAAACCGAACCGAAAAAAACCCGGAAATTCATACCGAGAATACCCTCGAAATATTTGGGAGGGAAAATCAGATCAATTCGAAATATTTTTTCTCCCGAAAATACCCTCGGGGTCTGATATAATACACGTGACATCAGCGTATTGCATCGGATCTGGACCGTCGAATTCGCTCCGACGGACGGTCCATATTGTCCGGATGCTCATATATTGAGAGCCAGCGGTTGCTCGATCTCTGTAAAAACAAAAAAAAAACTCATATTTATAGCAGTCCAGGAAAGAATCTTGTCCTCGAAGTAAAGTCCTGCGAGTATATTTCTGTCCGCAATGGACACGACTGAGAGATGACGCTGGCTGCAGCAAGGCGTCGGACCTTTGGGTCTGCGCCATCCCCTCGATTGGATATCCCCGGTCAATTCCTGAGGCAGATAAACACGTCGCTCTGCTTTTTGGCATCTTTCACGAGCAAAGTCCCTCGTCGTCTACAGGCCGGGGCCGGCAGGCGGGACAGGACAAGAAGCACGCAGCGCCTCAGATTTTGCTCACCGGGCCGGCGTTTCTGTGAGTTGGACGAGGTGCTGCACGCTGCCACTTTCGGCACGAAAGTATAAAAGCACAGCCGCCCCGATTCCGGCGTACGCACCGTGGCCGTAGCTGCAGCTCCGGCCACTGCCCAGGGTGTGGTGCGGCGTGCCGCATCGGGTTCTCCGGGGCATCGCCGCGTCACGGGTTACGACAGAGACAGCACTCAGCTCAGCCGATGTAATACTATCTCTCCTTGCGTCGTCTCTTCCGCCGACGCGCCCACGCAACGCGACGCGACGCGCATCACCACCGCTCTGTCTACACAGCACCGTAGGCTTCGGCGCACCTCCCAGGTTCAGTAGTACATGGCATATAGTAAGTGGCAAAGGTTCAGTGCATGCTAGATTGAAAATCTCCTACGTCGTGGCATGCATGCATGCATGCACGTCAAAGAGTCTCACATTGCGGCAAAATTGTCGGCACCTCCCACACAAGTTAAGGCGCCAACCATGCAACGACATGCATCATCGCACACCCTACCCTCGCATCGCAGAGGTCGGCCGATCACAACACCGCCTCCCCTGCAAGCTTTATCATCGGTCCTCTTGCACCACCGTACATGTGAGCATGTTGCCCTAGCTAGCTACCTACTACGAGTACGTCCCTGCGTTGCGTGCTACGCTAATCTCACTCGCTCAGTCGTTCCAGAGCGCGAACACCGGGAGCGGGTGCGCGGCGGGGACGCCGGCGACCGGCCGGGCCGCGCCTGGCATCCAGTTCCCTCCGCCGTTGCTGCCCTCGCCGGCCTCGTACTTCATGGCGTGCGCGTACTGGAGGCCGTGCAGCAGGTGCGCGCCGCGGTGGCCGTCCGAGGCGTCGGAGCTGTTGTCGGACGCGCCGGCCTCGGGGCGCTCCACGGCGACGCTCACGCCGCTGGGCAGCGCCGGCGCGTCGCGCGTCGGGGAGCGCCTGCAGGCGAGGTCCCCGCCGATGAGGTGCGAGCTGGCGCAGATGCGCTTCACGTCGTACTTGCTGATGTCGAAGTTGGTGACGGCGCTCAGCCCGCGGAACTTGATCGCCGCGATGTCGTACGCCTCCGCCGCCTCCTCCTGCGTACCTACGACGATTTTCAACTAGACATGAGACATCTACTGCCATATAACCATGCACAAATGACAAAAAAGAACAAGAACAACAAGATTACAGTTAGATTAGCAACAGTCGGGTGACTGTTAAGGCTTGGAACTTGGAGTGAACAAGCTGCATACAAGAGTAGTAAGAAAACAAAAACTTACTGAAGGTTCCCAGGTATAGGTCCTTGTTCCCTGCCACCCTCCCAATCCTGGCCTGCCATCTGCCGTGCTGGTGATGCCTGGGGAAAGGGAAAGCAAGCGCAACAAGAAAAGATCACACACAGTGCCACAGGCTGGCAAGTCGATGCGTGTGTGTTTCTGCGTGTCTGTCTGTCTGTGACTTGTGACTGCGAGTGAGATGGACTACACTAGGGCCCTGTTTGATTCCAAATAAATCACCAACTTATAAGTCAAAAATTGCAAAAAGTGACTTATTTTGCCAAACAGCCCCAACTTATAAGTCATCCCAACTTATAAGTCATAAGTTGCTCCACCCCAACTTAAAACGTATAAGTCACCCCCTTTTGCATGGGTCCCACCACCTGCATGATGTTGATTGGTGTGGGAAGGTGTGGGAAGATAACTTATAAGTCGGGTGACAACCAAACGGGTGTGACTTATAAATCACTGGTTTTAAGTCACCTGACTTATAAGTCAGGGGACTTATTGGAACCAAAGAGGACCTAGAGCTGACAAGAGAGCAAGTTTTGGGGTGGGGAAAAAGCCTGCGGATGGGGGTAAAAATGGGGCACCTGGTCACTCCTCTGTACATGGATGCTCCCCTCGAGAAGCCACTGCTGTTCCTGCAAAGAACAAAATTTTACTCGGAAGTTGTAAGCCTTGGTGAGCGCGCCAGATGTTTTCACACTTTTGGATGCGCATGTATGTGAAAGTGTGCACACAGATTACCCAGTAGTCCTAGGAATTTTGTCTCTAGTGATGTTTAAGTTGTTCATCAGATTTTGCAATGGTTTTCTTCCATAGTATTCCTTCGCAATTTTATATATGTTTTTACAATTTTATAGTAGATGATCTGTACGTACTTCTTTGCAATGGTCCTAATAATTGTTGGCACTGCATCACTGATGGTGCGGCAGTAATAAAGAGGAAAAAACAGGAAGCCAAGAAGTGCACCTTCTTAAGTGCGCAATGAACTCCTGCCTTGTCATGTGCTTCATCTCCTCCAGCTCCTTCTCGTAGGTGCTTAACTACATGTGACAACAAAACCCAGCCCATCCATCAAGGAAACATTGAAAACATCTGCTGTACTAAGCACTTTATTTAATCAGCAGCGAGTTACAGTATGCAGGTGCAGGAATGAACCATAGGACTACGTACCAGGCCCCTACACTAGTAGTACCACCACATTCCCTGGGCTTAATTAAGAGGAAAGCTTGAATGCAATGGCGTCTCAGAAGCTGAAACCTACCGGGAAATTTATGTGAGTCGTTGGCCCCCAGTACTTGAGCGCTGCCAGATCATAAGCCCTCGCGGCCTTCTCCTCCTTGTCATACCCACCTTCAAATTTCAGATCAACCATGATCGATCAGAATGTAACAACAACAATGGACAACAAGAGGTTCCAAACTGAACCTCTAAAACCACTGGAGAAGTTAAGGAAGGAGTAGCAACGGCTTACCTAGGTAAACTGCTCGTTGCATTCGGCAGATTCGGGAACGAACATGCATGGAAGTTGATGTCAGTACGAAGTTACAAAGGCAGAAATGTTTTGTGGTTCTTGATCTGATGAGGAGGAGCTCACCTTGCCTTCCTTTCCTGGTCTGGCCTTCCTTCCTGCAGGTGTTGTCCCACAGGTGAGCCTCGTACCTCCCCGTCCACCTGTGCCTGCAAATCAACGTACGAACCAGCATGAATCCATGAAGGAACCCGGACGTGTAAACGATGCAAAAGCTTGAGCACGCAAGAGCAAGACCAACCTGGTGACGCCGCGGAACTGCGACGTCCTCTGCCCGAACGTCTGCGCGAGCTTGCGAGGGACGGGGACGCACGGCGCCGGCAGCGGCGGCGGCGGCTCGGTCGGGGCGGAGTGCACGGATGGAGGCACCGCCGGCGACCGCTCTGGGACGTACATCGACTGCCGGAGCCAGGACTTGATGCCAGAGATCGACATGTTGGTGCTGCCGTCGAAGCCCGCCGCCGAGCTGTACATTGGCGCCGCCGCCATCGCCCCCGTGCCTGCAGCTTGTTGGTTCGGCGGGCACAGCGAGTACTGGCCGTGGTGCGCCGGCATGTAGTGGTGGTCCGGGAGGCCGGTGCAGTGTGGCGGCGGCGGCGCGTTGTTGATGTCCAGCCCGATGACGGCGCCACCGCCGCCATTGCCCTGGAAGTAGGGCGAGCCTGGATACGCGTGATGGACGTCCTGGTGGTGGTGGTACTTGAGCTCGTCGGCGTGGCTGGCGTCGTAGATGCCGCTGCTCCTGTCGTTGCCGTAGCCGACGCTCAGGAAGTCCTCCAGCTTGGGGCCTTTGGCTTCTGCGTGCTGATGCCTCCAATCTGTACAAAAGTTACGGCAAACAGTCTGATCAAACACAAACTAAACCCCTTGTTGATATGCCATTTCAGCGTGAAGATGCATCTGTGAATATATGGTAGTCCAACACAAACTAGGAACAACACCAGCGAGTTGTCGTCGAACAAGATTAACATGAACATGTGCAGTTTTCATCCTACTAGTGTTAGTTAGACTTGGACACTAGTACTATGATACATGGCAGAAAAAAAAAACGTGAACATGCAGGCAATGATTCGAACAAGCTAAGCATAGCCTTCCTGAACTCGTGTTGCATGTGATTGGTCAGTTACCTCGGCCGTCGTACTGCCCAGAGCCGCCGCCAGAGTGCAACGGCACGCCTACGATGGGCGAAGAAGACGCCGCCACCGCGGTGGGCGACGAGCAAGAGCCACCGTCACCACCATCGCACCCCACTCCCTCGCCGGCGTCGTAGCCCCTGGCGGCATAAGAAGAGGAAGACAAGGAGAAGCCGAGCCAGCCACTGTTCATGTCCATCTCCTCCTCCAGCTCTCCACCAACGCACAGAACCAAAAAGCTTAGGAGGAGGAGAAAAGGAAACGAAAGAGGAACCAAAAGAGCTCGATCTTTTGCCTGCCGGCCGGCCGGAGTGCGTGTGACTTGCAAGCAAGGGAGATAGGGAGGGCGGAGGCTATCTAGATTGGTGCTCGGGCTACGAGAAGAGGGGAGCCCCCCCTTTTTGACGTTTATATACGCGGGAGCTATATTGGCCACCGGTGTAGCGTAGGGTGGTGGAATGATCGGTCGATATGGACGAGTCGATGAATGAATGAATGCGGTTCTACTGTAGAGTAGAGTAGGAAGGGGAAGGAAACCAAGTCTTGGTGTGCAACTTTGGCTGGGCTGGCTTTGCTTGTGCATTGCATGTACGTATGCGAGTGTGGTCCGGAGTTTTCTTTCTGCGTTGGGGTCTGTGCCGCCATAGATACGTCTTGCAGCGTGGCAGCGCCAAGATGGGGCCTGGTGTGAATGAGTGAATATGAGTGAGAGTATCGGGGTTGGTTATTTTAGTGTTGGCGTTTGTTCTCTCACTCACGTGCCAAACTCAAGGGGGTCAGGGTCATCACATGCACGCGGGAATTGCGTGGTGTCTTCTCAGGTGGTTCGGTGACCCGAAGTCCAAGATCAAGCAAACGATTCAACAGCAACCGCTCCGTCCGGACAAATGATCCGAGCTTTTTTACGTGTTTGCATGTACGTACGTATGGGATCAGTGCCCGTCCCATACTGTTTCATCGGTAATCGTACGCTTAACCACCCATCGATCGATCGATCGATCTTTAAACGTCACGTCCGATGCAAATATATTCTTTCTTGGTCCGGCCCCGGAGGATGGAGTTGACGTGGTTTTCAAACGAGCCAGGTCGCGACGGATGACGACGCGCGATTGCACGCGGATCGAGCCCAGAAAGTGCGCGGCTCGATGCGCGCGCAGCGCTCACGTGAAGCCGCTCGTGTACGGACGGGCGGGGTGGCGGTGGCGGTGGTATACACACACGCACACATGTACGCAAGGCTGCCCAAAGCGGCAGCGGCAACGGCGAGCCTCGAGGCGCGCACACGCACATCCTGTCGCAGAAAGCAAGCAAGCAAGCGCGATCCGTGAACAATGAGATCTCCGTGCACGGAGGAGGAAGATTCGATTGGATGGCCCGTGTCAGCGTGCCGAGCGTGGGCTGGTTTGCCACATTTGGGACCCGGATTCGCTTGTACTTTGCCGCCTTTATTTGGTGCCGGACCAGGTGAGGTTTGGAAGGGGAAAAAATCACTGGTGCATGCAAATCTATTTTTTTTCTCGTGGATAATGGAGCTTCACTAATTGTTTGGTGATGTATACTCTGGGGTGTTTCTGACCCAAATGTGAGCGTGTGTTTGTGGCACCCGATGAAGCGAACAAAACCATCTAGTATTTGCGGCCGAGGCAGCGTGGCGCGGGGGCCAATACGCGCGCGAAGAATTTGCCCTTTTCCACTGCGCGCACACGGGCAGACATGGACGCAGCCGCAGCGGACACCTGGGCTTTTTTCAAAGCTTTCGCGGCTCCCAATCAACCACGCGACGCAAGCGCAGCAAGAGAGCAAAAGGCCCGGCGATGCGAGCGCGCGCAAAGCCACGGGAACCGGGGGAGAGGGCCAGAGCCAGCCAGGGAGCCGCTACGATCGGCAAAGGCAAAACGAACGACCGGCGCCGGCCGATCCGATCCGATCGACTCCCGCCGTGCTCGCATGCAGTCATGCACTGCCTTGGACTGCTCGTAAAAACCATGACCGACTCCATGCATAAGAGATGAAACGGGAAGGAGGAGGAGAAGACCGATTAGATTCATCTGCGGCTCCCCTCACTCACTCTTCCTATCATCAGCACATCTACGCCGTAGCCCCGAGCGACCTACCACTGGGGTGCGTTGCGTGCGTGCTCGAGATAAGGCTGCGCACGTCGAGCCCGGACAAGGCGAGGGGGCTACGGGGGAGGCAGCGGTTTATCTCCCTCGGGAGATGTGCCATGTCACTCTGCCACCCATCCATCCGTCCGTCCATCCATGCCATCTCTCCCCCTCTCCCTCTCCCTCGTCTCGTCGTTTTGTCATCTTGCGTGCAACCTCATGGGGAGTCACCTCCCCTCAGCCTGCCTCTGCGGATTCCAAAGTAGGCTACCTAGTGCCAGGAGTAGCTGACGACGCATCCATTCCTCTCACCAACACACAAACTCTTTTCTTTCGTTTCTTTGTTCGTTTTATTTATTTAGGTTTGAGTTGCAACGTGACAAAGGGGGCCCCGTCCCGGAGCGTGTCCTGGAGATTATTTTAGGAGACGGATCACGACTGCGGCATTGATTGATTGATCGATTTGATTGACGATGGATGGATATCTGTGCAACTTGGGTTGGGCTTCCCGAGGAAGGAGGCAAGCAAGCCAAGCCAGCGTTCGTTCGACCGTAGACTCGCTCGTCTGCTTGCCTCAGCTCTACTCCCACACGAGACCACCGATGCGGAGCGACTTCAATGCGATCCCGCTCCGAGCAATTTCACTAGCCGTTTGATGATCGAATAGGTGATGAAATGTTCAATAAAAGAACACATCGACGTAGGACGAATCTACTGCCGCAAAACGTATAATATAATCTCAATCCGTGCACGCAGGAAGAAAGTTACTCGCTCCGATTCATATTTGTTGTTACTGAAAGTGATGTATGTACATGTAATTTAGTTCTAAATGCTATATGTATTTGAGCGACAAATAATATAGATCGAAGGAAGTTAGGGGGGTCGTCAGATCCATGCGCGTGGATTGTTTTTACTCCTTTGTAGTCTAGGTTTTAGGTTGTTCATCGCCTTGGCTTCGGCGGCGATGATAACGGTGCTAAATAAAGATTCTTTGGATCCTTTCCCTGATGAGGCCATCAATCCTATGGTTGGGGATGGATTTGGAAATCAGTCTGTTCAAGCAAAGATGGCGTGGCGGCGGCGGCATCCTCGTGGTGGACCTGTGTCCTCGTCCTCCGCCGTTGCGGCGGTGTTTGCTCCAGCGTCTGCGTGGAGCTTGGGAGGTAGTTCAGGAGCGGATGCAGATTGTGGTATGCATCGACGATATTATGAGCTGGGTTCGTGGATGACAGGTATGGTTTCCTCCTTCGGCGTCTTAGTCGTGGTGGGGTGCCAGATCTGAAGTTCGATGGCGTGTCCGGGGTGTTGCTCCGGTCTGATTCGTTCAACGGCAATGTCTTCACTTTTGGCGAGCCACCTTCGAGGTCCGCAAAGCTATATATCAGCGATGGGCCACGTCGAGCTCGGGTGAGGCGGTGATCCGTCATTATTTTCTTCGGTGGCTGTTGTGGTGGTGTCAAAGGCAGGTGACAGGCGTTGGTGTCAAGTTCAAATATGTTCTGCTATCTTTTTTCAGTTTTGTCATGTCGATTCTTATGTGACTTGTACTTCGTTCTTTCTGATATGAATGAGACACATATTACCATGCAAAAAAGAAGGAAATGTTAGGGTTGAATTACTACCCTCAAGTATGGACAAAAAAACATGCATGCAACATCATCAAATATACCTGTGTGCTACACCCTCAAACAGACCCAGGGCGCGAGTGTGCATGCATGGAGATGGCGGAAGACCAAAATATGTTGGCATGGGATGACATGAAATCTAGCGGTAGGACAAATCCAGCCTTAGTTCTCGGCACCTACTACGACGGCGAATTAGATCCGCAAAACCGAAGTGGCGGTGGCGCCAACTTAAATCTTTGGCACCTCAGAGATCGGCTATAGATGACCTTGGTGGCGGCTGTCAGTATCAAAACCGACAGATCTCGGATAGGGGGAGACCAAGTTGTGCGTCTAAGGATCAATGATAACAAGGGACAATGGGACACGATGTTTACCTAGGTTCGGGCCCTCTTAAAGAAGGTAAAACCCTACGTCCTGCTTGATTGTATTCGATGAATATAGGGATCACAAGAGTTGATCTACCTCAAGATCGTAATATCTAAACCCTAGATGTCTAGCCTATGAATATTCTGATTCCCTCTACGGACAAAACCCTCCGGTTTATATAGACACCGGAGGGACCTAGGGTTGTACAGAGCCGGTATACAAGGAAGGGAAATAGAATATCCGGACACCAATCTTGCCGTCCACGCATATAGGAGTCCTACCCAGACACGGGGGATGGTCTTCTGCTTTATCTTCACGGCCCATCAGTCCGGCCCATATAGAATAGACCAAACACCTGAGGACCCCCTAATCCAGGACTCCCTCAGTAGCACCTGAACCAGTCTTCAATGACGATGTGTTCGGCACGCGGATTGTCTTCGGCATTGTAAGGCGGGTTCCTTCTCTTGAATATCGTACGTCAGATCCCCTTACAAAGTAACTATGTCCAGCTATGCATAATTAATACAACCCTTAGCCACGAAGGCGATATGTCAAAATAAGGACATTATCTTCTACTGACAACTTTTTTCGGCGAAACATCACACTCGACCCTTCAGCATTTTGAACCGTTTTCACACCTCTCGTTTCGTGTTTCATGGTCGAGCCTCCATTGGCGCGTCTTGTCAAAACAGAGATCGTGCCCGCTTATTACGGGATTCTCATCAATGGGATTTGGGTAACCCAACCGTGCCTTACGCACAATCTCATTGGGAACAGGCCGGGTTTAAGGCTTAAGAGAGGGACGGTTGGCATTTTCACCGTCTATAAGAGGACAATGATTCCTCCTTTCTTCCCCACGCCTTCCTCTAGCCTCTGTCTTCCAATCTCCAAGCTCTAGCGCCCAAAATGCTCAATTATTTCCGACCGCCACCACCCTCCCCAGCCATGGCCGGGTCCGGCTCCAAGGGCAAGTGGGAGGCCTCCTCCGTCACTGAAAAGGACGTCAAGGATCTTCGAAGCGCGGGCTATCTGACCGCGGATATCGCGCACAGGCTCCTCGACAAGGACCAGGTCATCCCCACTCCGAGGCCTGGCGAGAGGGT